AACCTCCACTCTACTTTTGCAAATCACCACCATAAGTCTTGCTTGACTGTCTCTGAAATCCTAAACTCTAATACAGCACTTGGGCCTCAATCTCCTAGACATCAGCTCTCTCATTCCTTTCTCTCACTATCCCTTTTTCTTCCTGCAGATCTCTAGTTCCTGAAGTCTTCCCTTTTCTCTCAGTCTATCGGGCTGATCTATTACTGATTCCCATCTCTCCCACTTTGATTCTTTCAAACACAGTAGTGTAGTGTAGTGCTGCCAGTGTGGCCTTTGAAGCCAGACTGCCTGGGTTAAAATTCCAGCCTACCATCAACTATGTGTGCCTCAATTTTCTGAGGACGTAATCATAGTAATCTCTTCCATTGCTGTTATAAGAATTAAGCAATTTGATGCACACACCACGTTTAGAAAGTGACAGGCCACAGAACAAGCATTTGATAAATATTACCATAATAATTATGATGTTACTATCATAATTATTCATCTGCTCTCCCAGAAACATATTGAACCTCCCTGACTAGTTCGTCTGTTGAACCTTCTCTTGAAACCTCAATCTCTGGCTCAATCTAATCATTCTTTTCTCTGCTCTTATTACTTGGCAGCTGAGGTCTCCTGAAAATAAACAACAACAACAACAACAACATACTCCACTGTGTAGGTTGATGCTGCTATAAACTTCAAGCTTCCAGACTCTGCTTGAATATCCTTTTACAGTCTTCTGGTTGGTTTCTTCATGCATTCCTCCTATTTGCTATTCTAAATCTTCATTCTTTTCAACCCTCCAAGCGGCTGATCTTTTCAGCCTTGCTTGACAGTTCTTACATGAACCATCTAAAAGCCAGCTAAAAATATACTTACATTCTCACATCCTTTTCTTTTCTTTTTAAAAATTATTTTAATTTTTGTGGGTACATATTAGGCATATATATGTATGGGTTACATGGGATACTTTGATATTAGCATGCAATGCACAATAACCGCATCAGGGCAAATGGGGTATCCATCCCCTCTAGTACTCATAGTTTGAGTTTCAAATAATCCAATTATACTCTTCTGGCTATTTTTAAATGTATGATTAAATTATTTTTTTACTGCAGTCATCATGTGGTGCTAGCAAACACCAGGTCTTATTCATTCTTTCCAAATTTTTTTTGGACCCATTAACCATCCCCACTCCCCACTATTATCACTACTCTTCCCAGCCTCTGGTAACCATCCTTCTACTCTCTATCTCCGGGAGTTCAGTTGTTTTAATTTTTAGCTCCCACAGTTAAGTGAGAATAGGTAATGTTTGTCTTTCTGTGTCTCCCAACCTTTTCTACAAACTCATAAGAAGAGGTCTTCTACCTTCTGTCCTGGACTGCTCTTTCTCATTCCTTTGTGGATCTGATTCCATTATTATTATCTCTTCTCTCCCTCATTCATGTCAGTCCCCAAACATGCTCAATCTCTCCAATCTTAACAAAACAAAGTCACAATACGAAATAACACCCCTCTGAACTTTGAGTCTCCCACTATCTGTTGTCTCTTCTTTCTCTACAGCTAAGTTTCTTGACCTCACCAAATGTCCCCTGGGGCAAAATTGACCCCAGTTGAGAACTACCGAATAAAGGTTATAATACAACATAAAATAGAGCAACAAGTGTATAAGTAAATGCAGAAGTTCTCAAAAGAGGAGCCCAGAGTGGTCTCCAGTCTCTTTCATCCATTCAGTGTATTTTTTCAGCCAAACTCTCTTCCAAAATCCGGTTCCTAAAGCAGACAGCAAGCAGAGCATCTCTGTACTTATCACTCTCCACTCATTCCTTAGCTCACTGCAATGTGACTTCTGCCTCTACTTCTCAGATCTTTTTATACTATGGCAATGTCTTCTTCTTAATGGCCAAATCCAAAGGACATTTCCTACCTTATGTTACTTGAATTCTCCATAGTACCTTTAAGCTATCAATAGTGACTTTTGCTTTGAAATTCTTTCTTTGGCTTCCAAAATGCCACCTTCTTTTAGTTCTCCTTCCATTTCTCAAGGTGCACCTTCATCACCTTTACTCACATTTTTTTTCCCTTTAAATCTCAGTATTCCTCAGGCAGAGTCCCCTCCTCAGTCCCTTTCTTACTGCCACTCTTTCCTTAGTGGTCTCCTTTTTTCCGATGACTTTAACAATCACTGCCATGTTGGTTACTCCTCAGTGTTGCTATCCAGCCCAGACCCCGAATCCTAGGCTCCAAAAGGTAATGCCTGCGTTACTCTCTCCCGGGCCCTTCTTTCTGCATTCCAGTGGCAACACAAATTTGGCAAGTGTATTCTTACCATTCAGTAGCTCTTTCTCTCCTATTTAGCTTTGAACTCTTTGAGGATATGGATCCTTTCTATTTTCTCTTTCAATGATCTGAAAACAGCACAGTGCTTAGCACCTAGTAACGGGTGCTCAATAACTGTCATTTGAATTAAGGAACAGACATGCTTGTCTTTTTTCTCTAGTATTGGCAGTGGATTTGCCAACTCATCTCTAAAATAGAATTATTTTTCCTATTTCCAAATTTCCTCTCTTCCAGTCTTCTCAGCTAAAGACATCACTGTCTACCCGACTGCTCACCCTGACACCTCAAGAGCCCTCCATGCTCTTCCTTCTCCCTCACCTTCCATATCTAACCCATAAGCAAGTGCTATTAGCTCTGTGTCAAGCCATGTCCTAAATTCCACTATGTGTTACCACTTCCAGCACTACCACTGTGTCAGGCCACTATCAGGTCTTACCTGTCCAACTGCCACAATCTCCAAACTGGTTTTGCCTGCTTCTGCTATTTTTCCCTTCCATGTCAGAAGGCTCTTTCTAAAACATTCCTCAGATTAGCTCGTCCACATAAAATACTCCATGGCGTTATTACACTTAGAATGTGATCTAAATTCCTTACCAGGCACTGCATTACTCCGTCTCTCTAACCTCTCCAACTCCATCACCAAATCCAAACCCAATCCAAACCCAACTCCCTTAATTGTTCCAGGAACAGCTCTTTTTGTTGTTTCTCCAGCAAGCTAATTGTTTTGGCTTAGGGTCTTTATACTGCCTACTCCCTCTCCCTAGAATGCCTCTTCTGAGAAAAAAAGGCTTACCCTTCTCAGCCTTCTTATCCCTGCACAAATGTCACTTCCTTAGAGCATCAGCCTACAAATTAGCTCCCCTAAAGTCATTCTCTAACCCTCTATCCTGTGCTATTTTCCTTAGAGCACTTATTCTCTAAATTTGTATTTGTTAATTTTAATTACTTAATTTTTTTGAGACAGGGTCTCACTGTCACACAGGCTGGAGTTCAGTGGTACAATCACTGCTCACTGCAGCCTTGACCTCCAGGGCTCAAGTGATCCTTTCAACTCAGCCTCCTGAGCAGCTGGGATTACAGGCATGCACTACCATGCCAGGCTAACTTAAACAACTTTTTTTTCTTTTCTTTTCTTTTTTTAAGAGATGAGGTCTTACTATATTTCCCAGGCTGGTTTTGAACTTCTGGGCTCAAGTGATCCTTCCACCTTTGCCTCGAAAGTGCTGGGGTTATAGGTGTAAGCCACCACACTGGCAATATTTGTTAATTTTTAAATTAACTTTCTATATGCTGCTATAATATAAGCTTCATATAATACAAGTTTTTAAAAATATATAAGCTTTTTTTTTACTTTCCTGTCTACTATTACATCTACATTGTGTAGGGGCATAACTGGCCCATGGTAAATAGTAAATATTTGTTGGAATAATGTGATCCCTGTGTCCACAAGCATATCTTTACTAACTGGTAAGGGTTATTGGGTCTGTGAGGTAGTCTTTCACTGTGTGAAGACAATTTTCTTAAATGGAACTAGCACCAATCTCTAAAATCCACACACCTGTCAGGACTCTGACTATAACCAAACTTTAGTTTGGTTCCCTGGAGCCCTCTTCTTGACTATGCCTTGTTTTTGGGCTGGGAGCCCAATTTTAACAAGAATCTGCTGCATCAGTTTAGGGAGAATCCCCTTGGCCCTCCACCTTTGATATTTAATCAAGTTCCTTTTAGTAATTTTCCATTGAATGACTCCCCCGTCTTCACTTTGTCTACTGGCTATAAACTCCCAACTGCCCTGGCTATATTTGGAATTGGGTTCAATCTCTCTCCCCTACCACAATATTCTTTTTTTTTTTTTTTTTTTTGAGATGGAGTTTTGCTTTCATTGCCCAGATTGCCCAGGCTGGAGTGCAGTGGCACGATCTCGGCTCACTGCAACCTCTGCCTCCCGGGTTCACGCAATTCTCCGGCCTCAGCCTCCCAAGTAGCTGGGACTACAGGTGTCTGCCATCATGCCTGGCTAATTTTTTGTATTTTTAGTACAGACAGGGTTTCATCAAGTTGGCCAGGCTGGTCTCAAACTCCTGACCTCAGGTGATCCACTTGCCTCGGCCTCCCAAAGTGCTAGGATTAAAGGTGTGAGCCACCATTCCTGGCCTACTGTAATATTCTTGACCCCTACTGCAGTAGTCTCCAATAAAGTCTTCCTTGTCATTTTTAACAAGTATCTGCTGTCATTTCTCTTTAACATTAAAAACTATTTGCCAACTGGGCTTGTTTAAAAACACTTAGGGAATTTTCATTGCTCTCAAAAGAAGTTTCATGTGTTCTTTGCAGTGTGAAGGGTCAAAGAGAGGCTTTACTTGTCTCTGACTGAATAATATGGTTTCTCTAGTATACAGAAGAATGAAAGAATGAAGGCCACATGATTTGTTTTTGTCGTCTCTGTAGTTGTGGCTATTATTCAATTTGTCACATTTATTTTCAGTTGTTCGTGCGGTGACATTTTAAGGAATAATCGAAAACAATGCTCAATTCAAAACGACACGACACCCCAAACCTCCTAAACAAAAGCATGTTCAGCATATAAAACAATAGTTTCCTCTCTGCCACATAACCAATATAATTCACATGAAGTCCACTCCTGACTCTGTCACTGACTTGCGATGATATGATTATACCTGCAACATCAAACTCGATTTCCAGTGTGACCTTGCTCGTGATTGAAGAGTCTCGGAGGAGCTGATTGGCTTCTTCGAAGGTGCTGTCTTCTGTTGGAATTCCATTGATGGCCATCACTCTGTCTCCAATCTGTAGCACCCCACATCTAATTTAGAACCACATGTGAGAGGTTGTAGATGGAGTAAATAATTACCAAGTTGAGCTTGCCAAATCTACCTTGCTTGATCCTTGCAAAATAGCATCATAATTTGGTCTTGCTTATTCAATGCTGTGGGCATCATATAGGTCAACTTCAACATCTTATGTTGTTGCATTTCATGGTTATAATTGTGAGCAGGGGAATCCTGAAGTATCCCAGAGAAGTAATTAATAATTCATAACCATGGTATTTTTAGAATCTGATCCAAACCAATATTTAGTAATGATGAATGTATATTCCCCAATGGCAGAAACTATTGAAGTTGAACTTCAGGATATGTTTTATTTATGAATTTTTCTCCTTTTTAATTAATATAGCTTCTAGTCCCTTGATGGACAAAATCTGCTAGTTAAAGGCATCCATGCTCATTACTCTTTTCAAACCTGATCAAGAACATAGAATTTTATTGTCAGAAGAGGGTTCATCACATCTTGCATTTCCTACGTTGAGCAATGTTTCATAATTCACTAGCCATTCAAAGATAGCAGGTACCAGAAATGCAGAGCAGAAAATGATGCTGTAAAAGAGTCTCACCTCTCTGCTGGGCTGTCAGCTTCGATATAGGAAATCAGAGGTGGAGAAGAGAGAGTTTCTGTGGCAAACACACTGCCCTGCAGTTGGATCCCAAATCCTGTGACAGGATCTGCCGTCAGCACAACCTCTGTGGTTTCTGTGTGAACAACCTGCCCAGCCAATCCCACTGTGCTGGAGGCTAAGGACACTAGAGGAACAAACAGAAAATACTGACTTTAGGTTGGAGCAAGCACCAGGAATACCAGCATTTCCAAAATAGATCGTGTCTCTGCATAAAAACTTAATGGCAATGGTGGGAGGTTAAATTATGGCCTCTGGTTTAGCAAAAGTTGAAAAAGATAAGTGAATCTCTCAATATTCATCACATTTCAATAATAATATCAGTGTATCCCTGTACCCTGGCTCCCCACTCCTCAAACCAGGGATCATCGTGGGGGCTTCAAGAGGATGGCCTTAGGGTCAGGGTACGTGGGTTTTAGTACTGGCTCTATCACTGAACACCAGCTGGGGAACATTGGGGTAGGCCATTTTGTGTCTCTGTGTGTCTACATCCTAAGAAAAAGAGAGTTGAGCTAGCTGGTCTCATGTTTTTTTCCACTCTAGCCATTTGCATCTGGGCTTTGTGACTTTTAAACAATCCTACCTTCAACTTTGAAGAAATAATTAATCTAAATCTGACCCTTGGAGTGGTGAGGCTGTGCTGCTCCTTAATCTAGTGTTGAATTGGCACAATGATGTTGTTTAAACTCTGTACATTCCTCCTGTCCCCTCAGAGTTTGTTCTCTTCAGCCTTGCTCTTTCCTACTGGGTCTCTAGTCTACGTTGTTGTATTTCATTTATTTCCTATTATTATCCTATTTCATTTATCTCTCTGATATTCATCTACACCTTCCAGCAGATGTCTCCATCTTGTTTCCATTCCCAACTCATGAAAGGGCTGCTCCACTCCTCCATGCCTTTCTCTCAGCCCTGCCCACTGGAGCTGGGCCACCTGTGCTCTCTGTGAGCAGTCTCTGCCTGCAGGTCCTATGCTGCACTGCCTCTTCCTCCAGAAAGAGTCTGGCCCCCTTTAATTAAAACCTGATGACACCATATACCTCATAACCCTCTCCAAAAGCCATTTTCTTTTACTCTCTCTACAAATGGCAGGAAGACAGGTTCATAATTCTTGCTTTCCACATATGGTACATTGATTCAACTACTCCTATTTAAAATTCCATATTCTGTACTTATTTCTGCTCTGTCTCATTTTCAAGCCCATAATCTACTTTTTCAAAATTCTCCCCCTTTTCTTCATAACTTCAGGACTTACCTCTTAGTCTGCCTCCTCTAACCTGTAGCTTTTCCTTGTCCTCTGCCTCTTTGACATTATGGTGATAACCTTCTAGCAAGCTGGCTTTATGCTTCTTCAACTCTCTCCCTGTCAGTTCCTAGCAATGCCACCCTACTTCCACGCTCTGCCAGCAGAACCCTATGGTGGTCCCCATCTTCCTTCAAAATGAATAGATCTTCAAGATCCTGATATCCAAATCCCCCTTGTTGATCACATAGCCTTTATTAGCCATCTTTCCCACTTCCTGCAATCTGTCTCCTCTTTATGACTTCCAGTCCCATTCCCTCTCACTTGTCTCCTGAGTCTACTGGTTTTCCAACAATATTTTAGCAACAGATTTTTCCCCCTTAAAATGAAAACATATAAGGGCCGCCTTTGTATTCCAGATAAAAACAGCTACTGTAGTTGATGGGGGAATGGGAGACCCCTGAGGCTTTCCCTGGCCTCATGTGGGGATCTGGCAAGTGCAGGTTGAAAGCCATTGTCTTTGCCCACTGGCTTTGCTGGCATCATTTTCGCCACACTCCGCCTGGACCCCTGGTGAGCATTTTAATAATGCATCTCCTAGGCTCAAAGATTCTTTAACCTCTTGGGATTTTTTCTATACTCTAATATTTTATACTCTTCGGTAATGCCCAGTCAACTCTACTGCTGTTACTAAGTTGCTGAAGGGTGCTAGGAAAAGTCACTACAAATTCACAATCCTATTAGGCCCTTAAATTAGTTGTTGTGTGATATTTTGACACCTTATTTCATTCCACAAAGGATCTGTCTCAAATGTTTCTACCCTAAATCATGGTCAAACGTTACTCCTCATTTCCTATAAGACTGAAAAGATGCAACCCTTTGACCAGAGTTCCTTAAACAACATTCTGTTTAGCCTCAATTTCTCTTTATCATTATTTGTTCCCTCTTCCTTTTTTCCCCCACTACAGGAGGTTGTATTCTTCCTTCCATTTCAAGGCTAATTCCCCCTGTTAGTGTTTTTAATACTATCCCTTTCCACCCCCCATGATTTTGTGCCATGAAAAAATTTCTCTCTTGCTTCTTTTCCAAACTTTTCTACTCACTCCCCCAGCTTTCTGACCTCTGTCTATAGATGTGTACTGATTCTGAAGCTGCTAAAAACTTGGTTTCTGCCTTCACCATTTACCGAAACTGCTCTCACCGATGACTTCCTGACTGCTAAAATCAATGGCCTCATCTGCTCTACCTGGTGACTGGCTTTAGGACCATCCCTTGCTTTCTAAAATCGTTTGCTTGGTTTTGATGAAGATTTGTTTCGAGTGTCTTACTTTTTCAGTCCCAGCCAGTTGCTTTGCCGCCCTCTGCATTCCAGCGCACAGTTCCATCCTCCAAGGCTTTTCTACCCTCATTCTTTCCCTCATTCATTCCCAGCATGCCTATATGTCTTCCTCATGTATCTTCTCAACTGTTTCTCTTGTTTTTGTCAAGCTCCAGTAATGGATCTCCCTCCTTGATGGGTATCCCATCCACACACTCTCTCATTGGCTCCTCAAACTCAATGTTTTCAAAACTGAGCGAATCCTCTTCCCTCTCTCATTGCCACTACTATTTCTGTGAACAGGCTCTCTAGGCTTGAAATCTCAAAGTAGCCTTAACTCACAACTCCCCATTGTCTCAAATTCTATCCACTGCTAAATCCTTTTGGGATGGCCACTGAAATATATCTTACAAAAATCCTCTTTTCCCTTATTAATTTCAGTACCTCAATTTGGGCTTTCATTATTTTTCATTCGAATTATTCTAATGTACTTATTTCTGGGTCCTTACATGCACAATATTCCCTACATATTATTTCCAGCTGAACCTCCCGTCAGATAAACTTTGCTGATACAATGAGGCCCCAATTTATCTACTCTGCATGTATCTTCTCAACTCTTTCTCCTTAGTTTCTGTCACGCTCTAGTGATGGATTTCCCTATTCAATGGGTATCCCATCTACAAACTGTCTCGTTGGCTCCTCAATGTTTTCAAAACTGAGTGAATCTTCTTCCCTTTCTTCTTGTCACTACTACAGAGCAAGGCCTCATCATCACCAGTGTACATTACTGGATAGACTTCTAACTAGTGACCCTGCCTCTTGTTTTATGATAACAGCCTCCAACTGCTGCTAGAGTAGCCTTCCTAACATGCAAAGGTAATCCCTGCCCCGTTTTGAATTTTCAATAGCTCCCTGTTTCCTATAGAACAAACTTTTCAATTCTAGCAGAGTACACAGGACCCTTCATCAGTTCCTTTCTCCTGCCCACCCACTCTCCTGTTTCTCTGTGGTCCCTTCACGTGCCATGTGCCTCAGCCCTCTTGACACAGTTTTGTGTCTTCATATATACTGTGCCCTCTGCCACTCAGCTCTTGCTCTGGGTCCCTTTCTCTGTTTTATCCAGGCAGAATTAGGTACTTACTTTTCTATATTTCCACATTTCTAATACATGGTCCCGTTTCAGCATTTATCAGGTCTCTGTTTGCCTGTTTCTCTCCACCTGACCCTGAGTCCTTGAAAGGTTGGAACCAGCTCTTTTAATCTCTGAAATCTTAGTGCCTGGAACATTCAATCAATGCTGAATAAATGGGGAATGAATCAAGTTTTGGGATGTCATCTGCACATTCCTTTTAGGAAACAATACTTCTCATAGATGCTGCTGAGTTACCGTAAGGAACTACAAGTCATTCTTCAGGACCCAGGTAATTGCAGCTGATGGGGCAAGGGAGGGTGAAGTAGATCATTTGTCTAGCAGGAGTAAGAAAAAAAAAATTGACTTTTCCTTAGGAAGCACCATCCTCATTCTGTTGCAGCTGGATTAAGGTTAACACAGCCTGCAGTGGGGGGTGAAGGTAGCCTCCAACCCTATGCTTCTTACAGGTGGAAGCTTGCAATTGCCAGGTCTGACACATGGACTGTCATGTACTAATTTAGATCACATGTTCTGGTGTGGTTTTACTGATGTAGAGTGTACCGTGATTACTCTCCAGATCATAATTTTGCTATCAGTGGCACCAAATCACTGGGAGACACCATTTCCTGTCAATAAGGATCTGGAGAGTACGTTGCATTCCAGTTATTTCTCATAGAAGATGGGAGTATCATGTTACAGCATCACATGTTTGGCAGGTAACTTCCACTTATCTTCTAGGTGAAGCTTTTTGGACTTAATCAGGAATCCTTTACTTTCTGTGACTCTTTTATAAGTTCACATTAATTTTTTTTTTCATTTGAGATCACAATTTGATATAGATTATCAGACTACTTAATTGGAGTAAAAGCTATTTAAGAAACTTTAAGGCAGCTGTTTACCATCTTCACTAAGAAAGAGCCAAGAAAAAAAGAGGTCAGTTTCATAGTAACAGGTGAGATTATATTAGATATAGTGAAGCCTTCTCAAAAGAAAGACTTGCTATATTTTTTGAAACAGTGAAGATAGTTGAATAATTTTATTTTCTAGAAGGTTTTGAAAATAAGTACTAATTTAATATGAATATGATTAAATTTATAAGCTCTATCTGGAGGCAAGTTGAGATGATACAAATTATTAGAAAATTGAATTTAGGATTTAAAATAAATTTACATATTATGTATTGGTTTTATAATTATATAGTTATAATTTATATTATACATATAGCATTATAGCAAATAATTTATGATTTTATAATTAACTCTGAAAGTCCTCTGACATATTGGAATCTTTTATTTGACAGAGCAAAATTTCATTTGAAATTATATGTATTGATTAGTTACACATATAAAAGTTTTGAAAATTATTACCAGATATGACAAAGATATATTGTAGATTTAAAGATAAGGAACCAAAAGAAAAAAAAATCAATATTAACTTAGAGGAGAAAAAAATGAGCTTGATTGTCCTGCTTCATTAATGTGGTCAACCAGCAAAAGAAGATGAAGGTGAATATTCCCCTGTCATTTGAAAATGTGGATGGTGAATTCTCTCTCCAGGAGCCGATGCTTCTGCAAGGTATTCAGTCATCATTGCTACTAGCTACCAGCTTTGGCCGAGGCTTGTCTACTCCTCAAGGTGAAGATGGAAATGACTAAATTGCTGACATCCTATGTTTGAATCCTGCTAACGGGTGTACGCTGAGGCTGTGTTCAAGATTTGTGCCTGCTCTGTCCTATTCCCATTCTCACATGGAGGGTTCTGTTCACAACTCTTCAGATTTGCAGGGAATGACTGTATTTTTGTCAATTCTTATTCTTCCTAGTAAAGGGAAGGGGGGGCCAAAAACACCTCCAAAAGTTTAAAAATTTACCCAATGTTTATTTAATTTAGAAGGCTGCAAGATTTTCTATCAGCTATGAGAAGCATTTAAAAAATATAGAGAACTAAGGACCCCAAACATTTATTACTATAATCTGTTTTTTTTTTTCTTTTTTTCTTTTTTTGAGATAGGCTCTCACTCTGTTGTCCAGGCTGGAGTGTAGTGGCAGAATCTTGGCTCACTACAACCTCCATCTCCTGGGCTCAAGCAATCCTCCTGCCTCAGCCCCCCAGGTACCTGGGACTATAGGTGTGTGCCACCACACCTGGTTGATTTTTGTATTTTTTTCTTTTTCTGTAGAGACAGGGTTTCACCATGTTGTCCAGACTGGTCTCAAACTCCTGGGCTCAAGTGATCCACCTGCCTCAGCCTCCCAAAGAATAATGTATTTTTATTAGTGATCCTGTAATCTAAGACTTCTGTCTCACTAAAGTGTTCCACACTATAGTCAACCTGCCATAGACCCAACACATGTGTATCATGTGATCCAGTTCAGGAACGCAGTAGAGGCGGCCAACAGCTCCTTTGTCCAAATGAGGGTGTAAGGACAGTTCTTAGGGTGTCCCCTTCCAGGGCTCCCTGAATGGTCACTTATAAAAGCTTACCAGTAGCTGCCTTTATCTTCCATTCTTTGTTCCCAGGTCGATGGAAGGGACCAGAAAAGTTGTTAGGTTTTTTCATTTTCTTTCCTTCAGCTCTTTTCAATGGCACTCTCTCTACTTACTGCTGATGACAAAAGCAGCAAAGACCATTCTGGAAATGTGTTCTAACTTCTACTCTTTGCTGAAATTCAGGCAGACTGGGAAGAGACAGTCTCTACGCTGGCCCAGGGTACAGTGGCGGGGAACAGAAAGCACGGCAAACTAGCTAGATCTGTTGCTCAGCCACGCTGTTGTTACAGGGAGATGATGAGGTTCTGGAAGGAGACTTGGCCTCTTTGGCAGAAAAAGAGGCAGCACAGGCAGCCAGGGAAAGGGCAGTAAGATTCCAGCAGAGGAGATGAGAGGGCTTCCTCTATGACTTGGCTTGGCCATGCCTCCAGGACTTTGTGACACTTGTCAAAGCCTAATGTGTGCTGTATTCATTATATTCCCTATGAAACAAACATGACACCTTCCTGTTTTAATACTTATAACACATTGCTATATACAGACTTCGTGTATTTCCTCTTTGATCAGTGATATAGAATGTTTTAATTTTCACGTGAGAAGGTTTCATTTTTTTTCTGGGCATCTCCTTCCTTGGCATTGGAAACACATATTAGAATTTTCTGTTTTGCAAGCTCCGGCCTCAAGTCATCACCAATACAGCAAAGGGACTTTTTATTGTATTTGTGACTTTTGCCATGATTCACCATCTACACAATTGGCCTGGTTGCTATAGAAACATAAGTATTACAAAGGGGGCAGCAAATGGTGGCAAAGGATAAAGACATAAATAAAGCGGTGGAAATAAACCATGGTATAGTAAGAGGGGCAATAAAACTTTTATTATCAGTTATTTGGGAAGACTTTTACATCTAATGTGACCATACCAAACCTGTGCAATAAAAGAAAAAAATCCTCATTAAAAAACAAACAAAAAAAACAAAACAAAAAAAACAAAAACCTTTGCAACACTATCATTTTTTCAGGTCTTTTTGAAGTGTGAATAAAAGTTCATAGCATTTGGAATTTATTGTTTGAATAAAATATAAAATGTATGATCTCCTGAGACACATTTATAAACATTCTGGTATGTATATTGTGAGTGGTGCTCTAGTGGCTAATGTCTACAGCAAACACAAACAACTAGAAATGTATTGAAACAGGTTTCTGTTTATATTGCTAACATGTTGAAGAATAATGTCCTGATTCAAGTGAGAATTTATGAGTTGGTTATGCGTATCAGTGACAGCGCTGCCTCAGCTTTGTTTCCTACTACAAAATTTAAGATATGTAAATATCAACCTAAGATAGCCAAACATTATTCGTTTGTATTCAGTAATGTCCCTAATCAACATAGCAAGTCTTCCCTAACACAAATACTAGTCTTTGAAGCAGAAGTAGGAACACTAATGAATTCATTTTAATTGCTCTTCCCTGCTGAGGGCTGTTAGCCTGTTTTTGTCACTGAGCAGTACTACACACAAAGCCATTATCTGTAAAAAAAATTCATATACAAATAACCACCACAAACCCTGAAGGCATTATATGGAAGACTGAAGACCTATGTATTAGGCCAAAATGTACCCCTCGTGAAAAACACTAAACTCTGAGAGCAATGTCAAGAGATGTTCTCATGTGACAATTCAGATTTAGGCAGATGACAGTTAACACAAACTATTCAAAATAGCTAACAATTAAATTGTGCTTACTGTTTACCAGGTATTGTTCTAAAACACACATACATACGCAATCTCATGTAATCTCAATTGCCCAATGAAGTAATTCTTCATATTTTCAGTCAAGGCATACCTCATGCAATCTTCAAAATCACCCAATGAAGTGATTTTCCCTATTTTCAGTTGAGGCATAGAGTTTATGGAACTTGCTCAGGGTCCTACAGCTAGAGGGTAATGATACTGGGATGGAACCCAGGTAGACTGGTTCCAGAGTCTAGGCTTATAACCAGCTCACTATATTGCATTCAACTAGTTTCTTCCAAGAGTAAATAATTTACTCTAGTGTCAACTAAAAAACATATGGGACTCTAAGAGCACTTTGTTCTCATTTTGACTAAATTCAATCTTCCATTTTCCATTTCAATATTACTATCATTTTCATATACCAAAGTTGACAAATCTCCTTATATGTAAAGTATATATGCAAGTCTAAATCATGTACAAACCACAGTGGTGACCCTGTCTTTTGCAATGGAGTTCACTGTAGGGAAACCTTCAGGTTCCTGTGTCATGAAGAAACTAGTTCCCAGTGTGGGTGATGGCTGGTCTTGGGCACTTAGGGTGTCCCTGGTGAGACTGGAGAGATATCCTCCTGGGGAGAAGAATCTCTTTCAAACAAGCTGAAAAGCCAGTAAGTCCATACCAGTTGTGAAGTAACTGGCTTTGGTTTTATTTAGGTAACTCAAGGATGTTCCTTATTTTCATTCCCATGGTGAGCACATGAAGAGATCCCATCGTCTTTACATTTCTTTGTAGGAATCATAATCATGGCCATCAAAAGGGATACAGGACAAGAAACAGACTCTCTAGACTATGGTTAGGTCTAGTTAGAAAGGTTAGTGTTTTCTTCTTCCACAAGTTATGTGATCATGATGAGAGAGAAAGATCTTCTCTAACAGAAATGATAAATGTAGGAGTGATTTGTATTTCTTTTTAAGGCATTCAATCACCATTTTTCCCCTCTGTTCAGACAACCACTATCCAAAGCAAGTAGCCAACCACATCTTCCTAGTCTTGCTTAGTGTATATCGTGTTTGGCTGTCCAGATCATTTTTACAAGACTCATGGCTGAAATTCCATGACTTTAGGATGCTTATTGTAAAACTGAGTGTCCCTCCAATCTTCCTCAGACTGGAGTGGGCAATAAGAAATATATGTTAGGCCGGGCGTGGTGGCTCACGCCTGTAATCCCAGCACTTTGGGAGGCCGAGGCAGGTGGATCACGAGGTCAGGAGATCAAGACCATCCTGGCTAACACAGTGAAACCCTGTCTCTACTAAAAATACAAAAAACTAGCCGGGCGAGGTGGCGGGCGCCTGTAGTCCCAGCTACTTGGGAGGCTGAGGCAGGAGAATGGTGTGAACCCAGGAGGCGGATCTTGCAGTGAGCCGAGATTGCGCCACTGCACTCCAGCCTGGGAGACACAGCGAGACTCCATCTCAAAAAAAAAAAAAAAAAAAAAAAGGAAATATATGTTAGATCAGTGACTACCAGTGGGGTAGGTTTCTGGAAAAAGTATTGGCGTCTTGGGGAATGAGATACAGTTTAAAAAGGGATGTTCATATTTATCATTGTTTTGGGGAGGAGGGTAACAAAATATAATTTAGTGTGAAATTTATGATAACATTAAATGAATGCATGAGAATCTTATATTTATCAAAAGGGGAGCATCATTTTCACAAAACTTCTTTAGAGTAAGTAAGAAACTAAGAACAAAGGTTTCATGTCCAAAGTTACCCAGAATATAATACAAGGAGTCTTAAAGGAAAAATCATACCTTTGGGTATGTGATGACATCAAAAGAGCAAGAAAAATCTCAAATCTCAAATAAAAAGTTGTAGCAAAGGTAGTATGAATGAATTCAGTCTGAAGTTATATTGGGGTGCAGTCATTGCCAAACAGATACTGGGTATCATGCCAATGGTCTTTGGCACAGAGCTGTTAGCTGCTCAGCATCTACCTGATCACTTAGGCAACTGTGAAACACTCTCCCCACAATTTCAGTATTTCCAAGGTTCCAATGCCCACGGGTTTTATTCCAGGCCAAATGCCATTGGCTGTTATTTCACTTACATGAGCTTTTGAAGTCCTTCTTTTTCAGTCTCCTCCTCATCATGGTTCCACGTGGGCTGGTGGAGTAGAGGCTTCGAGGTAGAGTCCCCATGTTCAGGGAACTCAGGCTGTATGCACTCATGGAGGTAGGAGAGAAGGATGAAGACACCAAAGCTGCTGCAAGAGAGCGAAGATGTTGCACAGAGCACTCTCAGGTGGACTGTGAGCCCGCCACACTTGCCAACCAGTAACGATCCAGAAAGACACATATGATGCATAGCAATGGCTAGAAAGGACTCTAGCCAGACAGAGGACAACCCTCAGGAGCATGAGACAATGCTTTACAAGAGCCTACAAATGCTAAGGGGCAGCGGGATCTTTATAAGCTCATGGAAACACAAAGAGACTCTATGAGAATTGCTTTAAACAAAAGAACAACTTTGTGAACAACTCAATGCATCAAATACATAATCTCATATTCATAGATATTTTCTGATATGAATTTCATAAGTGATTCCACATACACAAAGAAGACCTGAGAACATTGTCTCTGTATAATATTCTGAATTGTTGCTTCCTCAGCCACATATAAAGCGTTCTGAACATTTACATCCTTTCCTAACAACAAATGCTTTCTGATGGAAAAGAAAAAAACCTAGGAGATGTCAGAAATGATACATTGCTGCTATAAGAAACAGAAAAAAACAACACCCATGAAGCCAAAAGGAAAGAGTGAGAAAAATATAATTGAAATAAAAGACCAGGAGGAAAAAGCAGGGAACATTACGAGGGCTGTTTGGAGGAGGTGCTTTCGGGAGTGTCAGGGCTGGTACTCTGCAATGGTCAGGGTGGTGCGTGTTATAGTGATGGTTGGTGTGGAGGCTGCTGTGGTTGCTGGCCCAGGAATCCCAGGTAAGTTGCCTGTCGCTCCTCTGAATTTTCACTGCCCATATGAAGTGATGATGAGAAACAAAAACAAACAAACAAAAACAAAGAACCAAAAAAGGGAAAATAACTGAATTGCTCAAATTAAAAGTACAACAAAAAACAAAGCTGCTTGCAAATAAAAACAAATCTATTTGGCTTTGCCCTTTTCTCAGTGGTCAGCAAAATAGATGATTAACATAAAGGATGTAAACTTTTCGTCTTCCCAAGAATAATGCATATCTTTCCTCAGCTCATTTTTTCTTCTTTTAAGATGACTACTGAATCAATTTTCTAATCTGCTCTGCAGCAGAGATTAAAAACATTTTTTTTTAACTTAAAAGTCAGCCCCTCAAAGATCTATAGCACACAATTAGTAATTAAAGATTTGCAAATCTTGATCAGTTAGTAGCACTTGTTTTGAGAAAAAGAAAACAAGGAGCAATAAATCACATCAGTGCATGATTCAAGTGGTTTACTAGTCACACATCAGAATTTACTGCTCTGACATTTTAATCACACTACAATCCATCACTTGGACTTCATTTTCCTCAACAATAAACCACTCTAATCATCTATCAGTATCAGAATCTTATCTGCATCCCATCTAATAAGGAGAAGATGAAAGTCTCTATATTTTATGATTTTTTGAAAAAGCATATTTATATTAGAAATAATTATTAAAATATTTCACATGTTTTTATATTTCCTTGATGCCATAAAATTTTAATAAAGTTTATTTCAAACTTTATTAAATAAGTTTAAAGTAAACTTTATTAAAATTTCAAATTGGCATCCCTTTTATGTTTTAGAAAATCTTTATCATGTTTCCATTCCAGTTTCAATGTTAAGATTTGATATTCCACCCAGTGTTCTGAAATATAAGCAATATAATGTTTGTTTTTATGTCTGATATGAAGTTTTTCATTTAATAATCTTAAAGAACTCAAAATAACATATGAACTTATTTTAGTTTTCTAGAGATGGGGTCTTCCTGTGTCACCCAGGCTGGAGGGCAGTGGTGTGATCATAGCCCACTGTAATCTTGAACTCCTGGGTTCAGGCAATCCTCCCGCCTCAGCCTCCTGAGTAGCTGGCACTACAGGCCCATGCCACCATGCCCAGCTAATTTATTATTATTTTATTTGTGTAGAAATGGGGGTCTGCCTATGTTGCCCAAGCTGGTCTCAAGTGATCCTCCTGCCTCAGCCCTGAGTTGTTGGGATTACAGGCATGAGCCACCAGGCCTGGCTTAACATATGAATTTGTATCTCCTTCTACTTTCATGATTCTGGTGTTAGGTGTCTTACATGTGAATATGTAGAGAGGTGAAATACTCTATGCATTGAAAAGAGGGTCATTTAGAAAAGAACTTAAGTTACATCAACTGTGATGCCAGCTGAATTGGTCAATTCACATCCTTTCTAGAATGAAACAGTACATAAAAAGAAGCACTAGCATGGACAGATCACTGCGGGGTGAAGCAGACCTGGGTTTCAGCTCTGCCTCCAGCCCTTCCTCTCTGTATGACATTGGCCAGCTACTCAGCCACTCTAAACCTGGATCTCCTCAAACGTCAAATGGAGATCATGAAATCGTCTACCTCACAGGGATACTGAGAATTAGGCAAATACGGTGCTTAGCATGGTGCTGGTACACAGAAGAAAAACAAATGAATTCAGAGTATATTGATTTGTCTACTTTTCCATCTATGTGCTAACAATAAAGTATCTTTTAAAGGAAATAAATTTATCTTTCACTCAACAAATTTCACTCGCTGGACACTTAAGTTTAGAGAATTTCTCAGAAATCTGCAGCAGAAACTTTCATAGCCACTATAATTTTGTTGCCCTAAACCACCTGGCCTGCTCCTTCTACTCAACTGCTTTGTTTGTGGTTTGGATTCCCCCGTCTCTCCACTTTCCTAATTCAAGCTGCCACCTCCTTCATCTAGACCACTGTAACACCTTCAGACGTGGCTCCCCAACTCATCTCCTGCATACCCACCTTCCACAACACAGTTAGGGTGGCCTTCTAAATACGTAAGTCAGATCATGCTACTCCTGTTTGAATAGCTTACTTTTTTTTTTTTTTTTTTTTTTTTTGAGACAGAATATCACTCTTGACGCCCAGGCTGGAATGCAACGGTGCAATCTCAGCTCACTGCAAACTCTGCCTCTCAGATTCAAGCGATTCTCCCATCTCACCCTCCCCAGTAGCTGGGATTATAGGTACCCACCACCATGCCCAGCTAATTTTTGTATTTTTAGTAGAGATGGGTTTTTGCCATGTTAGCCAGGTTGGTCTCGAACTCCTGACCTCTGGTGATCTGCCCGCCTTGGCCTCTCAAAGTGCTGGGATTACAGGCGTGAGCCACCACGCCCAGCCTGAATAGCTAACTATTATAAAGAGAATCAAATGCAGCCCCTGCCTATCTCGCCAATTTCATCCATATGATTCTCCTCAACATTTGTATATTTTAGCCATACTGATCTTATATCTACTCTTAGAACAAGTCAGGTTCCTTCCTGCCTCAAGGCCTTCGCACTTGCTATTCTTTCCCCAGTTGTTTGTATGACTGTCTCCTTCTCATCATTCAAGTCTCACCCGAGGTGCCACCTCCTTGGAGAAGTTGTTGCTGATCTCCCTGGCTGAAGGAGCTGCCCTCCCCGTGCTATCTCATTATTGTTTTACATTCTTCATGGCACTTATTGCTGTCTCAAACAGCTTTATTTATTTAATATATTTTTAATGTTTGTCTGTCTATACTAGAATGTGAATTCTATAAGAGTAGGGATATACTTTGCCTGTCTTGCTCACTAAATATATTCTAGCAACTAGAACAGTGCCTAGTATATAATGATTAATATATGAATGAATGAACAAATGCATAAATGAACGGGAATATCAGCCAGAGTGTCCATGTGAACACTGCAGCAGCATTTTCGTTGAGATAAAAGAGTATTTATCGCACAGGATGTCCCTAACGGATTCTCTCTCACCATCCTATTCTACTTTGGGTGTACAGGAAGACATTTTAGCAAGACGCAGTTATTACTGGGTCTGGCCAATTTACAACCACAGACACTTTAGCGTACTTTTCACAAAGTACCATCTGTTTCAAATGAAGCCAGGGTACGGTGAATACACTTTGGGATTCTACACCCACCTTTTGACCCACTTTTTCACTGAGAGCTTTGAAAATTACTGGGCATTTGTTAGGACTGTCGAGCACAATTAATAAGTCAATAAGGAAGATATTATTTACCACCTATTGCTTCCCCAGACTGTGCCAATTGCTGCAGGCAGGTTAAAGGTCATACCCTTTACCTTGATCTTGAATTATTACTGGGGATTACATCTTCACACGTATAAAATAATTAAGAGACAAAACTAAGATAATGCACAAAACTATATGCTATGGATGATCAATGCAAAATGTGTTGAATAAATAACGTAGGCCAGAGAAGACAGCTGCTGCCTATTTGAATGTACACTCCAAATGTTTTCTGTTTTACAGTGGTATACTTGATAGGCAAGTATTTCCAGAATTTAATAATAAGATGTTACATTTTTGGCATGTCCTATCATCTTGCAAAAAGCACTTATAGACATTCTCTCATTTAATACTGCCGATAACCATAGCCTACTTTCACTGAGTACTTATTATATACTAGGCACTGTGCTAGGTGTTTTTTGATTGATTAGCTCAGATAATGTTCAGAATATTCCTTTGAGGCAGGTATTATTATGACCCCCATTTTACAGACGAGGCAACTGAGGTATAGAAAAGTTGGGTAACTTGCTTAAGGTCCCACGTGGTGGAGTCAGAGGTGAAGCTCTGGACATGTGATCCTAAAGTCCCCACTTCAGCCACTAGACATACCACCTCTTCCTATGGGTATGTCTAAATCCCTCGTTATAGATAAGAAAATAACACATTTAAAATATTACGGTTTGTGTATCATTTCATGGTGACATCACTACTGTAGTCTCAAGAGATATATGACCACAGAAGTTACTTTTCTTTCTTTTCTAATTGCAGCCTCTTGCTCTGTTCAGGATGTTCGAGAGAAGAGACCACAGCGGTTCCAGTGGTAGCCCTAGAGCTCTCAAATGGAAGGTCCTCCTGGTACTGAATGTGTTAAGTCTAGTGACTCTGGTCACATTTTCCTTTCCAAAATGTCAGTTTCCTTCAATCCAATTATGTCTCCTGAAAACCCTCAGTGTGAACAATTTCTAATGTCACTGAAAACTCATTTTTGTCAGCTTCTTTAATGCTGCTATTTATCAGTGAAAGGCATAGCTAATCTCTTATTCCAAGTTGAGATACTCATTTCTACATTGCCCTGAAAACTCTTTGGTGTATGCCTTGCTGCTAACAAAATCTGGAAATTTGGGAAGTGTGTTGAGAGACACACTGTTCAGGCATCAGAGATCTTGAAAAAACAATCAGAACTTTCTTGTAGAGAAAGGGTAAAACTATGTAAAACTCCATTAGTCAAAAATGTTAGTTTGAGAATTGTAAACATAATAATAATTTTGTGTTTGTTTTTCTTCTTTACTATGATTTAATTATGTTTTGGAGCCAAAACGTATTTCCTCTTGGAAATGCAAGTCTGATTTTAATGTGCAATACAGAGGAAATGCCTGCTTGATAAGAAAGACAGTGAACAACTTTCGGTAAATGTAGATGATGGAGTCAGAAGTGGAAGCTGGAATTACTCAAACTTCCTATCAGCTTCCTATCCCTGCAACACAAACAACATCAGGTTTTCCACAATAAAGGCAAAAAATTCATTCTTAGTCCATATATTTTAGTACATAAATTAATCTTAAGTTGCCTTGGCAGGTTAAAAAGTTTAATATTCCGTGAGTTGAAAACATTTGAATTATTTATGAATTATACATAGGGCCAACTAAAGAAAAATAAAAGAGGTTGCTAAAGACGCTAACATTTTAAAAGGGTGTGGTATGCATTTCCGATTCGCTGATACCAGAATTTAGCAAGCAAAACCCCATGCTGAGAGCACTATAGTGTTCATTCTTATGGCTACTGTGCTCCAAATCCAGTGACGACTGCCAGTTAATTTAAAGAAACTTAAACAGCTTCAGAAATCTCTCCTCTCTGCCAGAGTGCAGGAAGGGCCCACGGGGCCTCCTGATAGGAATGGTGTGCATCCTTGTGAACAGCACCTTCCTACAGCTGTTTGCATTTCTATTCCAATACTGTGATGCTGATTTTCTTTTCATAACCTGCCTATGCTGCATCATTTCTCTACTCCAATGTGTAAAATTAAAATCTGATAAGGGTAATGTTGTACTAGAGATTTTCATTAGCTTCAGGGCTGTCTAAGCTCCATTTAATTAAAAAGGTTGCATCCAGCTGACTGATTTAGTATGAAAATTATCTGGTCCCTCTTTCCCCCTGCCCCAGACTGTGGAGAAGTACAGTGCGTTTTAGAAGGTGAGAGACACAATACAAATGACTCCCTCATAAGCAAAATTTCAATTTCAGAGAAAACTGCACTGTGTCTAAATATACAGAAATGCATTATCCTCCTTCAGGCCACCCTGAAAATACTAGTGAGGCCTCACAAAGGAGTACAAAGGAATGCTGTTTGGTTTAAGGAATAGGGCAGGAGAAGGAGTAGGAACAAAGATCCTAATGGACAACTTGACTTCATTTGATTTGGGGCTCAAAGACCCCTTTCTCATACCAGGTTTTGCCTAAAGGTGCCTAGGTAGATGGTGTAAACACCCGGCAAATGTATCTGTGAATTTCAAGGGAGTGAAAATGCAGATACCTTCAGCTGACACTTTTTATTGAATAAATGGAGTCAAATATTCTGATTCTCCCAGACAAGATTTTTGGTCACGCAGGTTGTTCTCTATCCTAAGAAAAAAACTACACTGGCAAAAGACAGAATATATTGAAAACTAATGCTTCACATAACTGGTTCCCTCTGATTCCTGCCAAATATTTGAGGGTTCTGCCATCAAAATCCACTTTGCTTATTTATTTTTAAGTGAGAGTTTTACTATTTGCCTTCATTGGCCTTCATCTAGACTGGAAATTCAAAATGAATACCAGGAAGTCAAATTATTTGCCTTCTCTGCACATTCAATTTGCACCAAAGACTTTGTAAAGAAAAAAATACTAAATAGCACTAGCCTGAAAATTTTTTCCTTGATGTTATGGTTTCAAGTAAATTATGTGTGGCTTGGAAAAAAGACTTTGGAAGATGAATTTGAGTAAACAAACACAACCTTGTTTTGAAAAGAAATGATGAGTCTGATCAACATGGTGAAACCCTGTCTCTACTGAAAATACAAACATTAGCTGGGCATGGTGGTGGATGCCTATAATCCCAGCTACTCGGAAGGCTGAGGTAGGAGAATGGCTTGAACCCAGTCTAACTCTGCTAGAGGGAGCAACACTGTGAGGGCCAGAGAAAGAGCTTGATCCAGGTAGATATCTCACCATGGTCGGGCCCCTTTAGGGCCAGCCGTGTCTGATGATGGGGAAGGATCTCAAGCTTGACCTGGTCAGTGGTGTTGGCCAGGAACTGGGTTGCTTCTGCAAGTGTACAGTACTCCATGCTGGTTCCGTCGATGGAGAGGATGTGATCTCCCACGTGCAATGCGCCACATCTACGGAAAGGAGAAATACTCGGTAAGAGGTGGTGCCTACCTCTTTGGAATCTGACTTTCATGTGTCTCATAGTTAAACTTTCACACAGTTTTCAATTACTTAAAAAAAAAAAAAGAAAGAAAAGTTTGAGTGTTATAGGAAACACCATCTGTCAAATTTTAAGTACCTTGAATATGAATAAGGAGGTAAAACCTTGTGGAAAATACAGAAAAATTCAAGGAAATGTTTTCTCTTGTCCTTCTCTAAAAAAAAAAAAATCTTGTTTTGGAGTGCTTGTGTGGAAAGTTGAGGGAAAGTGAGCAAGAGGAAAGGGAAAAACAGGAAAATGTTTCCCCTGGACTTTTGTCTGTGTTTGTTTGTTCTAGGTATTTCTATCTGTAAACATAAGTTGGTAAATCTTCGGAATCTCAAACATGACTCTCAGAATTGGAATAGGGTCTATTTTATGTGTGAAGAAGAATAACTTGGGGAGATTTCAGTAATACTTCCTTGGAATCCTCACACAAGCTCCAAGATCACCAGTTCTTTATTATTACATTATTCTGGAGTTGAACATGTATTAGCGTAAAAGCTCTTGATAATGGTAGAAATTATGCAGGAGTCAAGTGAGTAATAAAACCAGGCCTGCATGGTGAGTCAAGGGGAAAGATGGGGGCAGGGAAGGGGCTGGCTGCTACATCTTGCTGAGCTCAAGAGCTGGCTACTGGATGAGTTGAGAAAAGTTGGCCCAGTCATCAGCATCTCCACATACCAGTCAAGTGAACAGCTCCTTAAACTGGTTACCCCCTGTGGAATGCGAAAAAACAGAGGGAGAAAATTAAAGCACCCTGCGCCACTGAACAGGAGAACACCCCTGGATCAATGGCTGTCACTGATAAGGACTGAGTGTCCGGTAAGACCACAGTGGAGCTATAGACTGACCACACTACTGGGGGTTGCTGCAGTTCACTGCACCATGGCTGGAGGTTTTCCAGGCAGGTTGAGGGGCACATGGAGAAGAGGACTGGAAACATACAGGGGAGACTGGTCATTCAGGTGCAGTATATCTATAAATTCCCAGTGTGAATAGTCTATTTCTCAAGACAAAAGCATTTCAAGTCATCTCTTCCAACTAAAAACGTAATTCCACATTTTTTGCACTTGGAGTGTTTTAGCTATGGGAGATGAGGTTTTTCTTACAAGAAATTATTTTTCTTACCAGTAAAATAATTTATTAGATGGAAAGGTAGTCTTTTTTTCCTTCCCCTTTTACCTTGCAAGTATAAAACATTAATTAGAAACACGAAGTTTCATTTTTATTGTGGCATTGAAGCGAATATTTTAAGAGACCCTCGAAGGTTGTAAAATCCTAAGATTCACATGCTATGAGAGTATAGGACTTTTTTCAAGTATTGTAAAAAAAAACTTTTAAAAAGTATTGTTTTATTTATTTAAGAAACAAAGAAATCAGATTTTATGGTAGCAGGATTTAATTGTCAACAATTCAGGAAAACCCATCACTGCTCTGCACGAGGTTTCATAAAGATCTACTCAGTTACCCTACATCAAGAACAGGCTAGTGCCCTAGGACACAGCAAGAAAACTTGCTTAGTTGCTTGGTTTTTTTTTTTTTTTTGGTAACTAAAGGCCACAGCAAACCACCAAACATCTGGATGAGGTGAAGTGACATTATGGGGTGGCTGACACATAGGTGAATTTTTAAGCCCTACAACAGTAACTTGCTTCTCTGTGTGAAACCTGTATAAACTGGCAAGAGAACTGTGTGTGTGTTTGTGTATGTGTATGTGTCTATGCATGTGTATATGTGTATCACAAGTGTGTGTACATATGTGTTTATATATACTTAAAATTGCACACATGCACTTTTGAAAAGGAGGCACTTTTTTTTTGTTTGTTTGTTTTTGAGATGGAGTTTTGCTCTTGTTGCCCAGGCTGGAGTGCAATGGTTCAGCTCACTGCAACCTCTGCCTCTTGAGTTTAAGTGATTCTCGTGCCTCAGTCTCCTGAGCAGCTGGGATTACAGATGTCTGCCACCACGACTGGCTAATTTCTTGTATTTTCAGTAGATGGGGTTTCACTTTGTTGGCCAAGCTGGTCTCGAACTCCTGACCTCAGGTGATCCGCCCGCCTCAGCCTCCCAAAGTGTTGGGATTACAGGCATGAGCCACCACGCCTGGTGGAAAAGTAGGCACTTTCTACAATACTTACCTGTCTGCAATACTTGCAGATTTGATTTTGTCTATGACAATGACTTGTTTGTTACAGCACATCGAGGTAGTTAGGGCAACCCCAAGGCTGGCACCAGGAGTTTTGGCAACTTCGACTAGTAGTGGCCCGGATGCTGTTGCCACAGAATCTGTCAAAGAACAAATTTCAGAAAACAAAACAAAATAAAACAAATAAGCAAAGACATAAAAGAAAAAGATGAAGAATATTCAGTTTGATGTTAGCCTGTTTATCACTGATACTTAGATTTCCCTCCATATAATATCCCCACAGCCAATGATAAATTCATAGGGCACCTCTTAACACACCTGTTCCATTCAGCTTGCATTGTATTAATGTATGTGTAATGTTCATCTCTTCAATGAGATTTTAAGCTTCATGTCACTTGGGATAATCTCTCTTGTATCTTTATCCCCTCCACAGTGCTTGGCACAATGCCTAGCATATACTAGGTCTTTCAGTAAAGGTTTTTAAAATTAATTACTTAATTCAATCAATATCTTAGCACCTACCAGGAATAAATAGATGGATGGATGAATGAATGGATGAAAGGATGGATATAAAAAAGAAAGGAAGGAAAGAAGAAAGAAAGGGAGGGAGGAAAGGAGGGAGAAAGGAAAGAAAGATGAGTGGGTGGATAAATAAAAGAATGACAAGATGGATTGAAGGATGAATGGATGGGTAGATAGATAATTGGAAGAATGGATGGATGGATGACGTCTTTAGCCAAGTAGTAGGAATGGTCCACTAAGTTGAATTTGTAAAGCTTTTGGGTCTTTCCCTCCTCTGGAACTCACTTAGGATCACCTCCCTCTCAAGCATAACTTCATATACACTTTATTTTTGACTTGGAACACTCTTTGTTCCTTCAACTCCTTCTAACATTTGTGGACTCAATGCCAACATCAATTCCTTGGGAAGCCTAAGTTGTAATTTGGTAAGATGCCTTTCACATGTGCTTCTACAGCCTGCTCTATTCCTGCTGTTGTAGCATACATTTCACTGGTTCATAGTGGCCAGTATGGATGATGTGCCTGTGTTCCTTGCCAGATTATAAGCATGCTTGAAGGCAGACACTATGTCTTGTCAATCACAGCATTCTCAGTGCCTGGTAAAATGATTAGCACATCGGAGGTATGCCACTAATAGTTGTAGAATGAATGCATGAACAAATGAGAAAGTTCATGATGTTGCTTAAAGCTCAGAAGAGCCACATGACACAAGGGAAGGAGTCTGGGACATGGAATTAAAACATCTGGATTCAATTCCCATTTTCACAATATTTGTGTCATGGTATCTAAGACAAGACCAGTTACTAAAACTATCTTTTTATTGTATTTTGACAAAATTGACAATTAATACTAAAACTTTCTAAGCCTGCTTGCTTACCTATAAAATGATATCTTTTCCACAATGTTTAGTAAAACCAAACCAATGAACAAAGCACTTTGTTACACACATAGGATATTTTCATTATTGCTATATTATGACCTCAAGCCTTTGAGTCATCTCATTTTTCAAGACTGCATATTGGGTCTGTAATCTTTTTCTAATTTTTGACTGTTCTGATATTTGACACTCCATTAATACAATTTTGCCTTTCTGCAAGAACATCTTTATCATCAAGGCCCCACTCAGATATAGTGAAATAGGAAATCTGTATTCCGATTGCTGAAGCTCAGGTAATATGCATTGAGTCATGAAGCTGAAAGGTCCATGGGAGAGAGCCATCTTCAGTTTGAGATAAATTATTTCTTAAAGTAAAGATGACAATATCCAGGTCAACAACATGCATATCCAGTGCTAAGGATTCTTGTATGTATTAACACCACGTTTCCTAACTGACTGGAGATTGAAATGTTAGTCCTTAAAAAGGTTACGAGATCATTAGGGCCTGTATCTCTTCCTGTCAATTCCAGAGCAAGCACAGTTTCATTAATAATATCTGCAAGAAGCCAACAGTCTTAATCTACTAAGAAGAGTTTTTGGCTCTGGGGTATTACAACTACCGCAGATCCTACGGTTGATTTGCCCATGAACCTAACTATGGTGGATGCTACTCTCTGCTCTCACTCACCTTGCTGTATTAATTCCCCTGATCTCCTGACATCAGACTAGGGCCAATGACAATGTTCTGGCTTCTCTCTCTCCTTCTCCCTCATTTGCTGCTTTGTTTCTCTCTAGAGTCTCACCTGGTCATTGTGTGTCCTGCCTTACTCTCACCTGGGAGTTTTCAGTGAGTGGGCCCCATGCCTATGTGCAATGGTAGTTTGTACCTCATGCGTCTCAGTCAAGAGACCCTAGTAAAGAATCCTTGTCAGTCCCTGCAGTCTCTGTTTTAGTTGTCCTTCTGTCACTAAGGTGGTTAATTTGCCCACCTCTCAATTTTAAAAAAGATCTGTGGCTGAGCCCAGTGCACACAATGTGATGCCTCTGGCTCCACCCCCAGCAGTTGGCCTTCATCCTTCTGTTCCTTAAGCACGCTGCAAAGCAACCTTTTTCTGCTCAGCCAAACCCCACATGAGCTCTGGCCTACCAGGTCCTTTTCTCACATTACCTTTCTAGAACTTTAGAATGACTAATTTTGATTTCTTAAATCCACTCTCCATGGTCTTGTTGGATTTTAATAGGTATGTTTGTAGGGTGACAATCACTTATGTTCTTCCTCATGGTTTTATCATGTCTAAGGATAAATTTATTTTGCTTAATAGGTGAAAATGATAAAGTTTCTAGATTACTTACTACTTAATCTCTTTTAGAAATGATAGAAACTGCTAGGTGTTCCCTGATATCTCATCTTCCCTTCTTTTGTCAGTAATAGGGTTTCTAAGTTTTAGCTGAGCAAATGGCTGCTCAGTTAAGAACCACATTTCCCAGCCTCCCTTGCAGCAAGGTGTAGCCATAGGACCAGGTTCCAGCCAATGGGAAGTGAGATGTGACATGTTTCAGGATGTGCTCTTAAAAAGAATGGCTGTGCCCCCCTCTCCCTCATTTCCCCCTTGCTGGTGAAATGTGGGCTCAGAACTGGTAAGCCATCTTCAACCATGCAGACCAGAGCATCAAGCCAGGAGATAGATGAAGCCTAGGTTCCTAAAATCTTCAGATTTCTCAAGAGATTGAGAAAGAAACTTCTATCATCTTTATGTGAGCATTGTGAGTTTGGGTCTTTGATACAATGACTGAATTGGTATTCCAATAGGCCTTTTCATTTGAGAGGACTGCGCCAATGTATCTGTCTTGGACTGTTATTATAAGAAGTGGCTATTTAAAGTAGGTATTTGCAGATGTAAATTTTAGAAAACTACAACCAACCATTACTCAATACTCACACAAAGTATTCACTTTTCTAAAAAGTACTAAATCATGATTAAACATGAGAGTTTTTAAAGAGGTCATCAGGATATTCAAAAGGTGTTTAAATATAAACCCTTTAGTTTTTTTTTTTTTTTTTTTTTTTTTCTGCTGGCCTGTATATTTGTCGAAGTATTAAAACTTATATTTTTGTGTGGTTTTAATGTTCCAATGATCATGAAGAATTAACATGAAATTGTTCTGGTAGAAAGAAATGATAGGAGTATTAAGAAGCTTAGGAAAAGGATGCCAGATCCTCTGCCATCGTTAAATTAGAGGGTGAGAGAGAGAGAGAGCATCCACAGCTTCTACAGCAGCTTCTGTGACTGGAAACTAGAATACGTCTCTCTTCAAGTACAACTTGCTCCATTAAGGCTTGAAAAAACAACAAGTGCAATATTTCCATTTGGGAGATGCAAATATGCAATTAATGAATCTCTTTTAAAACTTAAAGTAGAAAGCTTTACAGTTCTGAGATAAGATTAATTCAAAGTCATGGTTAAGGGAAGAGGCAATGTGGTGTTATACGGGACTCAAGGCTGGAGCTGAGGACCAGCTGGAGGGTGGTTCTTGCTATATCATCAACTCAGCATGTGGCCCGAGCCATCATCTCCCTTACACCTCATTTTCTTCACTTGTAAAATGAAGAGATTTGAATAAAACTTCCCTAGTCATGACAATCTGTGAATCTACAGAGAAATAACGATGCCATTTAAGTAGCTCACCAGAGAAAGTTAAGGCAGGTTAACCAACTTTATGAAAATATACAGCAGCTAGAATCTAAATCCCAGTATCTTACAAATCAATAGAAGAGATGAGCTGCTAGATAGAAAAGTGATTCTTGATAACTAATGTTTATAAAGGTGGGATGAAAATCCTCAGATCTTTAAATATTGGGATGACAATAATAACATCCTTTAAAGACTGAGTTTGGAGGGATGTCTTCCACCTTCAAAGAGACATCACATAATATGAAGCTTCCACATTGAGAAGTTTCCAGGGCACAACTACAACTTTCTAGCAAGATTCTATCATAGTAAGGTCCTAATCTAACTAACCAGAAAAAAATGATGAAGAAAAAAGGGTACTTATCTCATGAAAGACAATCAGGGCTTATTGATAACAGTTAACAGAAGCTCAGTCTTGTATTCTCTCACCTCAGTAGTCCACAGTTTCATTTACCTCAGTCACTCTTCAATCCAGCACACATCATTCCTCCAAGCTCATATTTGTCACTTAGAACAATTTTTAGCCATCTCCTAGGAATATCAACACATGTCCCAAACTGAAGAGTGAAACCACCCTACTCCACTGCTTCTGCACGTTTCCTTCTCCAGTGGTGGGTTCATGCTGCACTCCATCACACAAACCGGAAACTCAGGAGCCATCCCTGGTCCCATCTTCTCCCAGATCCTTATAAATTTCTCTTGATTTTACCCCCTAAATAGCTCTCAATTTCATCCTTTCTTTCCATCTCCATGATCACCATTTTAGCCCAAGTTACCATCATCTGATTTCCCCACATCCTCTCATGCCCTTCACCTTCCCCAATCCACCGTGATCCTTTAAATTGAATATCTCATCACGTTAATCCCAAGCTTAAAACCTTAAAACAGCTGTTCTGGTAACAGAGTACAGGTTCTTAACATGGTCTACAAGGACTTGCATGATCTGGCTTCTGCTTCCTTCACCAGTTTTATCTTCCACCATTTTGCCCTGCTTCTCTCTGTTCCAGTTCTGAACTCCTATTTTAGTTATTCAAAATGCTGTCAATCCCTG